ATTCGCTGCGAATATTATATTGAGAATTAAATTGTCGCGCAGGCGCGCCTAGCAAAGATAATATGGGAACGCGCGGGCGAAATCTACCTGCCATACGAGATGAGCTTCACTCAAGGCCCCGCCGCGGTGGTCTAGGGGCTAAGGTACTCGGCTGCTGACCCGCAAGTCGCGGGTTCGAATCCCGGCTGTGGCGGCTGCATTTCCGATGGAGGCGGAAATGTTGTAGGCCCGTGTGCTCAGATTTGGGTGCACGTTAAAGAACCCCAAGTGGTCGAAATTTCCGGAGCCCTCCACTACGGCGTCTCTCATAGTCATATGGTGGTTTTGGGACGTTAAACCCCACATATCGAGCTTCACTCAAGAGTAAGTTTACACGAAGCGCTGGACGAGTCCACTTGCGTTTATCTTGGTCAAACTGTGCGCCAGGACGGCACACAAATGAAGAAGCGCGTTAAACAAGCGCAGGGTTTCGATTATACTCGGCGCCGTCTATGTCTGACTGTATTGTTTATGTGCCGCCGTGCCGTGCAGCTTGACAAAGATAAGCGTTCAAATAAGCGTCTGGCTTCGACTACGAAATGCATCTTATAGCGCGCTAAAGGCTGGAAAAAAAATAAAAGATCTAACGCGCTCACTACGTGCTGCGCTTCATGCCGATCGACCGACGATGTCAGCCGAAGCAGTGATCCCAAAATGCACATTGCTACAGTCATCCCGCTCCCCTGAGATCTTTAAAGTGCTGATTTCTAATCTGCAGTAACGTATCATACAATGAAAACTTGTCTTCTGTATCGACTGATCTGCTTGCCAAACTGACAGTACCCCTGAGGAGCATAAAAGCATTGCTGATCATTTTAGTGCGATAAAAACGTTTCCTTACCATTCATGGCTTTCGTAGCTTGTCATCGTTGCAGTCACGGTTAGCAAAAACAAAACAAAAGATAAACAACTTCTAAAGCACTGGCATTGCACAGAGAGGAGCTTTTTTCAACGGAGTGGCACAAAAATGCGCACGTACCACTGCTAATCCGCGTGGTGCGTCGAATCGGAAGCCATCGTATCCGAGAGTTCCCTGCGATTGCCCATATTACCGGTCACCTATTTCAAAGTGGCATCACCACCCGCACTATTTTTTTTTTTTGCTCGTTTTCTTGCATGCTAAGCGTCTTCTGGCAGCGAGTGCGGAGATCCACGAATTGTGAAAGGGTAATTTACTGATAGCACAAAAATTATTTTCTCTTCATAGTCATTTTAAAATTTTCGCCTTAAAAATAGCTATTATAAATATTGCTACTTTTTTTTTTCGGCTGCCGCGAAATTGGTTGTATTAGGATGCTTCGCCACAGCATATACAATAGTGTGGAAAAGCCTGCTTTAGGTTGGCAAGAAGAGTGACACGGCTAATTGAAAAGCGATGTCATAAAACTCTAAGGAAAAAAAAAAACATTTACAGAAGCCGTATGCTTTTATATTAGTCGAAATGCTTTGTCACCTTCCACTATATTCATTACAGCTTCATTGTTACGACTATGCGCCATAGGTATTTCGTGAAAAAAAAAAATGAACTCCGACCTAATTGACTTATGTCCGCTTTGGAGATCAAGCCAATAAACGGATAGTCTACCGCAAGTGGACATATAATTGGTTTGCCTTTTGAAAAAAAATTAGAACAATCAATATAAATAAATAATGATAAATTAAGAATTTAGACAAAAACGGCGTGATTAGTTTAAAAAAATCAACCACTAAACATCCATATGACAATTTCGTAATGACGAAAATTCCCTTGTTTCTTTTTTCAGACAGACTTCCAACAGCAGCAATGCATTTTCATACGGTTAACAATATTGTGTTTTCACCTGAAACTGAATATGATACGGAAGTAGATTTTTATTGGTATTTCTAAAACGTTTGCTTTATCACACTAGAACAACATGTCACAACAGTGCATGCAATCCGGTTTTTGGGCACTGAACAGTGGGCACCAAACAGTGCGCGATTCTTTTTAATAACTGTCACAACGTTATTACACGCATTTAAAGTTAAGAAGTTGGGAGCAACGTGACGAGCTATTTCAAAGGTGTCGAAAAAAAGTTCATGTGGTGCTGGATTGTGCGTAGCAGCATCAATTAACCCGATGCTTTGTTCCGCGCACCTTAGCGTAGGCTGGAAGAACAGTCTTAATAGAGCACGTAGTAAATTTTCTCAGGACGCCCACACTACAAATACTCTTGCGAGGTACCCATAATCCACAATTCATCATTTTGCGAAAATAGCGTACCCGCTACGCATATGTAAGGAAATACGCGTGCCCCTGTGGCCAATGACAATAAATTTTCGTTGAGCTCTTTGTGATTGGTGGGAGGATTTAAACCACAAGTTGTTTGATAAATTCGCATTGTGTGACGTCTAGTGCGATTCTACTCTATCACCCAATATTACATGTTATCAAGACAGCTTGCCCTACGTGACAACTGGATAGTGTTTTTTTTTTTTTTTCAGAAAAGTCTTAACCTCTGGCATGCGGTAGAATACTACCACGCAGAATTCCCGGGTTCAAGTCCCGTTTAAGCCATAGAGACAACGGCAATGGACAACATCATCACCAAAAACGAGCGCTTACGCTGTTAAGCCGTTTGACTGGGCAACGGAGCTTAAGCCTCGTCTCACAGCATTATTGGTAAGAATTATTCGAATAGCTGATTACTTCCATAAATATGTAAGTAACAGATGTATACAGTGGATTAAAATGCACAAATCTGGGCTAGGTAAGGCTATGAATGTAAGCATTTGTTATTGTTCGAGCAAGCCCTCCTGCACTATTATTGGCACATCTTTCTCTTTCGCTAGCGATTTCGCGCTCTTCCCTCTATTTCAACAGGTAACAAGTCGTCTTCCTAGTAATGCCTGTTTGTCCAGCACAGAAGCGATAAAACGTCGCAAGTGTAGCGTTCAGATAACGACCCTAAACAAAAAAAAAAGCAAATGAATAGCCAGGAGATGTCTTCTAGGCATCTGACATCTTCGTTGCAAACAGCCTCGAGTGACACCACCAAGTTCTTTTAGATTGACATGACCGCCGAACCGAGCAAGTGTAAAACCCTGAAAATAAAAGCAGATCGCTAAAAAGACAAGACCCCGGAGACAAGAAGACGCGACGGTCGCGTGTAGAAGAAATCGGGCGTGTTTTAATGAAGCGCCGAGGGCGGCCTCAAGTAAACATCTTGCTCGGACTTGTATACCGAGCGTACACATGCTGGAGCACGTCTTGTGGTTACATTGTTTCGGAAAGCGCTAAGCCGTCGCAGCGAAAAAAGTATATGTACTTGAAATGCAATGAGAAACTATACGCAAACAAGCGGATAGTCTTGCGTCTGTTGGAAGCTTGCTAATTCCAACTCTCCCTCAAGGCCACCCCATGATGGTTGTTTTCCCGCACACATAACGTTTCCCGCTAAACATTTAGAGGGGCGTAAATGCGCAGTTGTCCTGCACGGTGCCGCGTAGCTGAAAACATTCCCATAAGGTAAAAGTTTTGAGTGTTTGCGAGCAACACACGCGCGCACTCGAATAAATACACGCACTAACAGGACGCATAGCGTAAAAGATTGCACCATCTCACCATGTGTAGATGCGAAGCAGAGGGCGCTGATGCTTGCAACGCCGACGACGTTGACGCTGGCACTCATCAAGCGAAAGGCCTAGACGTCCTCGAGTGAATTCCGAACGCGCGATGTGCAGCCCGAGCAGTCGTTTTTTTTTTTTTTTTTTTTTTACTACAGGACGCTGCCTGCGTCGGCCTTGCGAAGCGAGAGGGGAGCGACAGTTTTGCCGGTGTCTGAGCCATGCTGCCGATTAGGACTGCAGAAGTTGCGTTTTTTCCTTTTCCCAACTTCTCTCTCTCTCCTGGCCTGGAACGAGACGCGAACATGCGCAGTGGGGGGTACACGGAGGGACAGCGTTACGCAGACTAGTCAAAGAGCTGCTCCGCATCTAAAATCTCCCCGGGTCCAATGATAAGGTAGAACGGACTATTTAGAGGGGGAGAGAAACATCTCCCAGGGCCAATGATAAGGTAGACGAACTATTTAGAGGGAGAGAGAAACATCTCCCCAGGCCAATGATAAGGTAAGACGAACTATTTAGAGGGGAGGGAAACATCTCCCCCAGTGCGCACGCCTATTAATATACGAAAAAAACGAGCGAGCATGAGCCTAACTTGATAGATGCTACAGAACTAAAAATGAAGTAATCATCACAAAAGAAGCTAAAAAAAGCGGATCGACTTTCCCGAAGAAGCCAAGAAGAAGCGGAAGTTCATAGAAATTTCCCACTCTTCAAAAAATATTTTTATTTATATTTTTATCTATAATACAAAGACATCACTAAAATACGAAGATCAGTTCAAAAATTCGTTTTACTTATTTTGCACAGCGAAAACATGCGCAACATATGAACAAAAGCACATACTCACTCTTTGACAATATCTCCGTGGCAGTGTCCATTTGATTGAATCAACACCACCATTTAGACTTTTGACTGAATGTGCATTTGCCAGATCATGAGTAACGTTACATGTTCATTCTTCCCGCGTACATTTGACTTCAAGACTCAACTACACCAATCATAGGCAGTTGCGCTATTAGTGAACGACAAGCGTGCTATAAGTTAACGCGATGATCTCTAGGATGACTATATTTCTCGGAAAATGCAAATAAGCTCCAAAAAACACGACAAACGTCTAAAAAATTCTGCAGCCTCCACCCGCCTCCCTCCCCCAAAAAAAGAAGCCCTAATGCGCTTAATTTAAGTGGAACTGGAAAATCTGACACACCCTTTGCTCCGTTTGATGCTATACGTTCGTCATACATGTCCTACATTATTCAACACGAAGCTTTTCACACATGTGTGCGAACGTTTGGGGAACATCATGCATAAAATGTGGCATGCATGAGAACAATGAATGAAAGGAAAGAAGCAAACAGGACTAGTGCCGACTCTTTTAACTGAATTTTTTTTTTATTGAACATGTTCGGCATTTTGAGTATGTACTATTCGATTCGCTATGCAAATAGAACATAAATAAAGCTATTCTGTTCGCTAATCAAATGTTTTGAATATTTGCACACCCCTAGAGCTCACGACACTTCCCCGTGGTAGCAGCAGTAAAACCCCTCCATGCATTTACCGCCGACATCAGTAGACGCACGAATGGGCTGTACTTACAGCCCTCAGTCAAAAGACCGATATCCGCAATTTGGTCAGAAAATCGGACATAAATTGTTATACGATTGTTTTACACAAAATGTAGCTGAAAGGGAATGATTTCAACATTTCTGACATGATTAGCGCAATCTAAACACCAGAATTACAGGGCAATGAAGTTCACAAGGTAACGAATTTACATTTTTTTTCCCTCGACATGTGCTTAGTTTTTATGTGGAGGAACAATGTACCACCCTTTAGTAATAAGACAGCGAATCACTCAAATCACACGCGCCATTCACTGCGCTATTCTGGAGAAATTCCACACAAACGTAACACAGACACAAACATTTATTTATTCCCATCACAAGATTCATTTTCAACGTGTCAGATCCAACATTGCCGAAAAAAATCGATTGGTTATGTGAGCATGTGCTTACAAGCATGTTTTTAGTGTATATAAAGCACACAAATGTCCTGATTTTGTTGTGGCGCTACAGTCGTGCACGAGTGCACAATAACACGTAAACACCATCTTTTTTTTTTTCTAGAATGTGAAAGAATTGGCAGAAGTACACGTGCATGATTTAGACGACTCTCTCGCTCAGCGTTTTGATTTTTTTTTTCTTTCCGTTCGTCAGTTCGTCTCTCTTCCCCTTCGAGTGCCCCTCCTCGCATAATGGGTAGCGCGCGTACCTGTTAGCAGGAAAGCTCTTGTGACGTCACCGTCGTGACAAGAACCTGCTCGTCTGCTAGCAGATACGTGCGCTCCCTGCTCTTCCTTCTCGCACGGTGCTTGTGACGTCACGACTAGTGCTGGCGATACCGGAGAGGTGCAACGAGGAGCACGAGTTTGCTTTCCGATTTTGCGGCACAATACAGCGCGTACCGCTTCCGCATTTGCCATTGTTCAGATAATGACACTGACAACACTCAGACATTTCTCTCAACCAAAATCTGTGCAAATGACTTCTATTTCTATCTTTTGGTCGTGTGTGTATGTGTGTGTTTGTATACATACACATATATATTTGCAGCGAACTGCTTCTTTTGCCCACTTTTATAACACTTTGCTTAATCAGTTGTGCAATTCATATGTATATATTTGTTTTGTTGTTCGTTGGTCAAATAAGCTCGTTCTCTTGTTCACAGTTCACACAAAGTTATTTAGTTTTGCCAGAAACAGAGAATAAAAAAGTTTTAAATTTGACGGGTATACAGGCAATTTGCAATGTGAACACTCTTGCCTGGACAGGTGCGTTAACATTGGTTTCTCAAGTTTTCAAATGTGCGAGTGTGCTAGTGCCAACAAATGCCATTAGAGCAAGGCACGCTCTTGCTTATGTACGACGCTAGTGAACAACACTAAGCCACAACATGTATTCATATGCACATAGAGGCAATCACACAAATATGTCCATATCAAAATATTTGCACTACATTGAGTACAAATATACATCAGTGATTGTCACGGCATGTAGACATATTCGATGGGTTCATTTCGTTTCCAAAATGCACTGCCGCTAAAAATGGCAAATATCGACAGCAACGCGCTAGCATACCAACAGCAACAGACGTGAATGAGCAAAAGGTCAACATCTCAGTGTAACATGATGTATAGGCTCATTTTTTGTGTACCCATGCCAGTTGGTTGAACACTACAGTACCTCCTGCAAAAGCAAAGCAGACTGCCTTGTGTCTGCTAGTAACAAGTCTACCAAAAATGTTTTATGCAGGATAGATATGCACAACCAAAACAGCAAGCTTGCAACACACAAGGTGAAAGCTTGCATCTGCTCTTTTCACCAGAGCGCTGGGTGAAACGAGAGTTCAGATGAGCGTACGCTGAAAAGCTACGCACACCTGTGACAACTCTGACAATGAACCGAGGCTCAAATGCCAATGTTTGCGTGTGATGCTTGTTGCCTGGTGCCACCTAAATGTATGGCCTGGAGACCTTTGCATACAGCCAGTGTGTGCTACTTTTCGGTGCTATGTAATCTATAGCACTTGTTGCTGTACCGCCACACAGGAAACGGTGTGCACCACTACTGTGACTAACGTATCTCCATCTGTACTGTTTCGCAAGGTACTTTTACATTCTACATTATACAGTAGCACCTAATATTCCTAGTTAGATTCGCACAGAGACCAGTGCTTGGTGGCTTAGCTAACACAGAGGTACAAGATTCCCTACTAATAATGTACAACTAGAAAAAGCGTACATGCAGAGGCATAACAGCAGACCAGCTTACGAGGTGCTGCCTACAATGAACATGAATGAGCAAGCATATGTGAACATGCCGTGATCCCTGAATCGTCAAAGAAAATCAAAGCAGGGCACGGTTTCTGAATCTGAATTAGTGCAATGATATAAGATTGTAGGAATGTGTAGCGTGACTGGAGGCAGAAAGAAAACTAATGTATATGCTTTAAGTAATCAATGATGGTAATGAAATATCGGACAGGCAAAACCTGTGCATAACAATGAGTGTACTAAAATATGTGCAGTTATTTTTACTGACTGCGAGTTAATGACTGCTTTGCTTGCATTGTCAGATCACTATCAGATAAGGGGTGTGTAAGATAATGAGCTGTGGTAAAGAGTGTTAAAAAGGAGGGCTTTGAGACAGATAGAAAGCCAGAAAGATGAGTGCCAGGTGCAGTAAAGTCAAGAATTCACTATTTAAAAGCAAAAGAAAAATTGTGGTCATGCATCTGATGCACATGCCAAACTCGTGTGAAGGTTTCAGTTTATCATTGAAACAAAATTAATGCACCTGGTAAACTGGTCTCCCATCGGATCCTTCTTTTTCCAGCCTTCAGTGCAACAGCCAGCTTCGGCACGTCACTTTTTGATTGTGCAAATGATTAACACATGTACAGCATGAGAAACAACAATTTTGTGGTTGCACTTGCTACTTAATAACGGGGAGTAAATCATGAGTTGATTGTCTCATTATTCTGTTTTACATACAAAAGTCAAGAAGATTATTTTCAGCCTCCCACTCGCCCCCCCCCCCCCCCCTTTCTTTTTCAATCTAAGCACTGGTAGCAAAAGGCATTTACACTAGCAAAGGTATTGCACTATCATATCAGATATACATATTGCTAAAAGCACCACCTAACTGACCCAAAACCAACGTGCGTAACAAATCTGTAAATTCAAGGCAAGAAATACAGAAGCATGGAACGTGTGGCTTCTAGGTTGCTCGAATTAAACCACCCACACATCTCAGACAAAACAGTGTACACATTCTACGTACTATCAGTTACAGTGAAACACTTAGAAAGATAACATGAATACAATGTGTTCCGTCAACAGCAGGTAATATGAGCCCTAAGAACCAATTATAACAAAGCATCAATTTAGTCATGATGCCTCCAACATAGATGACAAGAGTTAGGTGGGACTGACAGTACCAATGGTTCACCGTCCACTACAGTCTGTAAATGGTACAATTTCATAAATGACCAATGATCATAGATAAAGGCAAGCTTTTCTGCTATGCTGGCGCTTCAAGAAAGACAAACAGTGCCATAACAGGTACTGGTGTTCGATTAAGTCCCATTAGATAAGACAAGTACATGACGACTGACCACTAACAACTGGTTATACACACATCTATGCCTAAACGTACATAATCGTTAAACAACCTTAGCAGCATCGTTGTTGTCATTTGTGATTGTCATTTAAGCTAACAGTGCTGATAAAAGCAGCCCACGTTTAGCTTTTTGTTCGTGCAGAAATGAAAAGATTGAGCTCAAAGTGTGAATGCCACAGGTCACGGAAGTTTTCCATAACTTGTCTTACGGATTATTGTGCTAAGTAAAAGCACTGAGTGCTAAGCAAAAAGTACGATGTTCATTATACATGTTAGCTAGTACAGTGACGAGGATTGTGCAGCCTTTCCTTTAAGGTGCTGTTTTTGTAAGCACAGTAGCGGACAGTCGACGCCTTTCTAGAAAAACCTGCAATGATGTAAGATTCTATCCAAGATTCATACTGGTAACAAGGATAATTGTTGCAACTCCTTCGTGCTTTCATAACTGAAAAAGGCTATATCAAGTTCATGGTGCTATTGTTTAACAACTGAACGATGATGACACATAAATATGCACTGAATAAGACAGTATTCTCCAAAAAACAGCTGCACATTCTGGGGGACATTCTTAGCCACCAACATTGATCATCAACTATGCAGCCTCCTTTTCCTTTTCTTAATGCCAGGCACTCAGTACTTTCAGGTCGTAAACAGCACTGCTGATAGAAATGTGGCAAGCGCAGAGGTGTTCAGGAAAGGAAATGCAAAGAAGCCAAACGACGGTTGTGGTCGTAGGACTAAAATATTATCAAGATTCCCAAAAATCAGCTAATTGTCTTTTAGCCTATGCTCGAACTCGGACAAACATAAAATACTGTCGCAACATATGCCTGCCCTAAATCAATTCTATAATAGATGAACAATGACCAAGTTTGTAATCCATGGTACTCGAACAACAGCATAAAAAAAAAGATGGTACCGAGAAAGGGAGGACACAAAAACGCACTGTGTAAGACCATAAAGATGCTTGAACAACAAAAAATAAAGTATCAGAACTGCACCCTTGCTTTCAACAAGCTCACTAGCAACATTAAAATGACGAGCAAGCAGGGGACATCTAGGCTCGTGTGTACGTGAGTTTCGTGATGACCAAGACCATAATGGCAGAATAAAGCCTAGAAAATAGCTACTGTCATTGTGTCTCTAAGAGACCTTTTTTTTTTGGTAAGCAGCAGAATGGTATGGCTACATCCAGTGAAAGAGCTTGCATGATAAAAGTTTCTAACTGAATGCTTTCATTGGCTCTTCGCATATTATCGTAGTGGTCAGAGGTTGGTGGTGGTAGGTTTTCCAATGCCAATGCAACGGCGCTGACCCAAAAAGCACACGTTCACGTGCAATTGCATTCCAGTAGCACAATTGTCATCGAACATCAACTGTATTATAGCACCTTGAGACGCTCGTGACTCTTAGCTGCGCTTAAATCTCAATATAACGAACTCAGATATACTAATGAAATATTGTTTATAGCAAAGTGAAGAATAGCTTTGTAATAGATACAGCATTACTTTGTCATAATGAGGCTTGAGTGTATATATGTAGTGCAGTTACAGGGCCCAAATAACTTCACTACAACAAGCATGCACCCTCAAGTGCATCATTCCGTCAACAAGGCGAAAAGCTTTTTAGAAGAGTGCAGCTGTTCACTTACACTGAAAGTTGTTAATGACTGTTTCCACGTGACAGTTTCTGCCCGTTTTATTACACGTGCAGTGCTCATGGATTGAAATGTGCCGTTAAAAGTACGAATGCGGCATATTCATAATTTTGCTATGAACCCGGCTGCTCGAGGTAATGCAGGATCTGATGCAAGTGAGGGAGTAAAAATCATACGAAATAATTGCACTTCAATCTGAAAGCACTGTTAACGAAAAGGGAAGAGTGGAGTTTTCCCAACAGCCACAGATGCTTAAACAAGCATGCCTGTATTATTAGCGACGGATTCGGTGTATAAAATCACAGAAAAACGTGTGTTTTTACATAAGTGTACTGACAGGGATCAGAGACAAAGAGAACTTCCTGATTGTGTCTCCACGTGCACATTCCCTGCTGCAAGTTAGCATGCGAAAAGCAAAGATGAAGTTCTGATTATTTGTTTTCATTGCCCTAGTTAGACTAGAGATGAGACAACACAGTGATTACATCGGACTTATACACTGCAAAGCGAAAAAGAAAATTGCAACAGCAGCAGCTATCTTGTGCCAACTATTAAATTAGCCACCGTGCCTTGTTTGAACTGCGGTATTGTAATAAAATGGAAAGATGACATTAAGAGGCAGAGGTTGCTGTGGTTAGTGTTCTATGAGATAAGTTCAGCCTTGCCAACTTTACAAAATGCACTTTTCTTTATTATTAAACAATATACTTAAGAATGCTTATGCCTTTACCAGCTTTCTACGTTCTCTACGTTCACCTCACTTATCTCTTTGCACTTATTCTCCACCACCACACACCCTCCATGTTACCACAAAAAATCACCTCTCCAAATGTACTATGATGGACAAACAAAAGGCCCATAGAAAACTAGCGCAGTATATTTAATGTGGGCCGGATACTTGAACCTCGTTACAATAAATAGAGCCATAATTTGCAGCACAGTTCGTTATAGCAGAATATGAACCAAACATATGACTTCTTCTACAGCTGCTGAGCAAATTCAGTGGATTCGGCGATAACAGCACAGACCCAGCTGCGTTTCCTGCTCACCATCAAGACTTGAGTGCGCATATAGCACTTTCGAGAACTGATCATGGGCGGAAACCCAGATTACTCGCGCGCTACACACTTCGACAACAGAATTCACTAGGCTTCGTCAACTTTCACTCTTATTAACGCAACCTTTAGTCAAGACATCGCCTGCCACCTAAGCCCATATGAAACATCTTCACTGCGTCATGTGCATTGGACATCTCACTAGCACACACTTACCGACTCCTCACGGCCAAGAGACTGAAATTCTTAAAGGTGCGACGCGAAAATACAGCACCTTCCCCTCGATGCTTAATGCAATCAAGAAGCTAGATTCAGGCATTCAGATTACATACTTCTTTTACAAAAAGTATCCTGGGGCCGTGGCCTAATCCCAATTCTACGCAGACGATTGCAGAAGCCTTATTTGAGGCAGATGGCATGTACAAATTCTGGTGATTGGCGACGAATATGTCGATGCACCGGATGTTCTTTTATTATTTACACCTTATCTGTTTTCACGTCTACAATTTTTCTTTCTGCTGATTATAACCAGGCAAGACCTTTCCTTCCTTTTTCTTTTCCCTCTCGTTATAGAAGATTATGTGGAAAAATAATTAAGAACTAGCATGATTTGACAACATACTGTAGGCCAGAGCTTTCTACCAAGCCACATACTGACCCATGCAAAATGACAAAGACTTTGGGTTTGTGAAACCAGCAGCACTTCAAAAGCCAACCTCCCAAGAGAGAGAGAGAGAGCAGCAGTTTCTCAAAGTACAGCTGTTGTTAACACCTGTTACGTGTTAAAGCAGTAACAGCTTCTTTTGGTGGAGCATAAATTGAGATCAAAAGGTACGAAAAAGCTTTTGCTCACTTTTGCATGTGTGGAAACACTGTCTGCATGCACGAAACTGAAGGCATTGTTACTCCACCAGTAGAGATGCAAAAAAACCCAACTTTTCCTTCTGAAAGGATTGAGAAAAATAAAAAATAAATATGCAGAAGACTACTCAAGATCACTTAGCTACTCTCATATCGTTGTCCAATTGTGACAAATGTGCCAGTTCAACTTGCTTGATAAAGTGAATTCCATTAATGAAATCAAGACACTTAACATGAGAATACTGTTATATTAGTAGCTAGCTGCCACAGATAATGCTAATAAAAACACGTAGTTTCGAGAGAATAGACCTCAGAAAGACACATCATTTTAGTCTAGTAATGTGCTACAGTCATCCCTTCCGCATTTATATCGCTCAATGTAGCCTATTCATGTAACCACAATATGGAATGAGGTTTGCATGGAAGAGTGGCGCTTGTTTGTTTGATTTCTTTGGAAGAAAAAGAAAGACCTTTCATGCGAAGTGGCAGGCAGAAGTTCTTTTTACATCTGCCTGATAGTACTCGTACCGTTCTGAGAACTGCTACACATAGTGGCAGGCTGTCAATGTTAATCAGTGGCTTGTTTGAATACATGCCTTCTCCCTCCTTCTTCGTCAAAACAAATCATGGGACATTTAAGCAAAAAACTTACTACTACGCACTGACTGATGGAGTAACACATTATTGCTAAGCCTTTTCACAACAACACCGCACACAAAGTGGCAAGAGCTGACAAAAAATAAAATAATAATAAATAAATACAAAAAACTGTTGCGTGTGCCACACAACCAAAGTTGATTGCCATTAACAAAATAACACTGCCTACATTCAGCTCATCTCATTAATCAACAGAGCGGCATAAAAAGGAGTCCAACAATCGCGAATTATCGAAGGAACGAAAACAAGTTCACTGAAATCAAGGGTACTGCGAAAGCTGTGGCCAGATTGGACAACAGGTTGACCGAGTGATTGTCAAGGATGTTGGCACCACAGATGTGTTTGATGTTGTGTCCAGGACGTTCGACTATCCGGCCTGTCTTGGCATGCACACCTGAAAAAGACACTTAAATGTTTAATCTGGACAACAAGTTGCTAGTTCTATGGGATATGCAGCTAAATACCTAAAAAAAAAGACATACAATAGAGACAAGGTTAGATTAGGTTAAGTTAGGTTAGACAGGCGTGAAGCCAACTGTCTGAATCGATGAGACAAGAGGGAGTTGGCACAAGTCCCGATTGCGTGCGCACGCTTTCAAAGCAAAAGTTTGCTTTGAACAGTTAGCCACAGCTTTAGCACGTGGATGTGCAACAAATAAAATAAAATGTGTGGAGTTAATTAAGATCAAGATGGCATGCTCGAGTGTTTAACACCTTCCACTGTTTTTAAGAAACTATGGTGCAAATTGAGAAACACACAAGCACATGAAATTCAACCATGACAGTCACAAATACTAGCGCAGGCATGCTTTACAAGAAACCAGCCAAAAGCCAACTCTGATAATTTTACACTGCTGGTGGATTTCAATGAAGACTAGTAGGCATGTTTCCTTACATACTTCTGCGATTCCTTCAAAATAACACGCTTGAGAGTTGCACAGATCTCTTACTAATGAATACTAATGATTACCTCAGACCACTCATTTGGCTTCTTCACAGCTGCTACCAACACTGTGTTACAACATACCACACAGATGTGCACATGTAGGGCTTGTTTGAATAACAAATGGGGGGGCAGCTAGCAGTGTCAAGGAGTTAACGTTTGTCAGTAAGTGTTTGGCACTGCATTGTCCAACGGGCAGGTGACGAGTAGCAAGCAACAACTATATCTTGGGTTTCATGCGGCAAAACACTGATATGACAACGAGGAATGCCTTAGTGGAGGGCTCTGCAAAGTTTGACCTTCTGGTGCACTGACATCATACAGTACACAATCCTCTAGTATTTTGTCTCCATCGAAATGCAAATGCTGTGGCCAGGATCAAACATGCAACCCTTGGGTCAGCGGCCTTGCCAGTCATGCACGCGATTTAAAGCAATGTTAATCGCATCCAGCCATCATCGTAAGCACTAGCACAGCTGCTAAATTTGTGCGTCTACTACTGATAAGCCCAATGTAAAATCTTTGTGCTGGTAATGGCAGAAATCGCCCCGTAAACAAAAATTTTGTAGTTCTCTGTCGCTGAAGTAAGCTTACTATGCTCAAGTATAGTGCTAAATTTTGATGGTGTACAATCTATCTGCTGCGCTTTTGACAGCTGAAGCGTGGCATGAATCATTGCTGCAGGACAATCAGGCACCAACATGGCAACAAACTGGTGGGGTTAGCGACGAAATAAAAATGTGTATTTTCTTGGTTCATTAGCATGCCATGGAAAATTTATAACTTGGTTCCCTTCGCTCCGTCAATCCATGTGTCCACACCGTAAGGTTTACAGTACGATGCAAAAGGTCCTATGCTTCAATCCTGTAAAGTTAACTTCTGAAGTACAGCTGAATTATGGTGATTTGATGCTGAGAGCGCCCGTCAAATCCGGTATTAAAAGAGTGGCAGGAAAAACAACAATATATGTCGCGGACTCATTTGGTAACACTTGACCCAACCGTAACATGTTTCCGAAGATAACAGGCACCCACATTCAGCTTCAATGTGACATTAAAGTGAATAAACTACACTGGAATTCAGTGTGCACCTGATTTCCTAGCAAGAAAAGCCAAGAAAGAAAAAAACGCATTACTCGCAGTAACTAAAAGACAAAACCAGGTAACTTTACATTTGTGGAATGAAACGCTTTGTTTAAAGGGTCGGTCAACAGGCTCTAACTTTTTTTAACACAAAAGTGTTTTATTCTGGGGTCCACCACAGTTCTGCTGATGTACTTCCTTCAGAGAAGTGATGTTGAAAAACAAATACCAAGAAATTGCAAAGAAAAAATCAGAAGGCAAACATCTGTCGCACAGAATCAAACCAGCAACTTTTCGGTTCTCAGTGTGCAGTGCTAATCACTACACCACAAACCGTACAATATCTGGAGTGCTAATGGCAAGCTGTTTATATACACCATGCACCGTGCGGCAGTCCTCAGAGCTTCGAAACTTTAGCGCGTTTTCGTTATCAGTGGTGAGCTGGCGCGACAATTTCGCATTAGATGTACTTTCAAGGTTGCCGCCTCCACGAAGCACCCCTACCACGGTCCCATGGAGCGTGGTCTCTCCTGCGCGTGCGCTTATCAGACTCGTAATTTGAGAGAGGACGACGGTATTTCCACAAGCACCCACAGCTGCGTTTAGGAAAGGAACACGCTGCTGACACACAAGGCAGGAAGAATTGTGACAGTTGTTAGTGTTCGCTCGTTCTGTGTACTAATTTTATACATGCTTTATGCTTGAGGTGTGCGCTGAAAGTTTCGAGCTGCTCACCGTTCCTAACACGACTTTGGAATTTGTTGCTTTTGCTGAAACAATGCACAATAAATGCTCAAGTACTTCTGTAAAGACAAGCTTCATTTTCGTGTTATACTGATTCCTATATAAATTGATCAGTATAAATGGCGCGGCAATTTCGTATTAGATGTGCTTTCAAGGTTGCCGCCTCCACGAAGCACCCCTACCACGGTCCCATGGAGCGTGGTCTCTCCTGCGCGTGCGCTTAACAGACTCGTAATTTGAGAGAGGACGACGGTATTTTCACAAACACCCACAGCTGCATTTAGGAAAGGAACACGCTGCTGACACACGACGCAGGAAGAATTGCGACAGTTGTTAGTGTTTGCTTGTTCTGTGTACTAATTTCATACGTGCTTCATGCTTGAGGTGTGCGCTGCAAGTTTCGAGCTGCTGACCATTTCTAACACGACTTTGCAATTTGTTGCTTTTGCTGAAAAAATGCAAATAAATGCTCAAGTACTTCTGTAAAGACACGCTTCACTTTCGTGTTATACTGATTCCTATATATATGGATCAGTATAAATGGCGCGACAATTTCGTATTAGATGTGCTTTCAAGGTTGCCGCCTCCACGAAGCGCCCCTCCCACGGTCCCATGGAGCGTGGTCTCTTCTGCGCGTGCGCTTATCAGACTCGTAATTTGAGAGAGGACGAAGGTCTTTTCACAAGCAGCCACAGCTGCATTTAGGAAAGGAACACGCTGCTGACACACGACGCAGGAAGAATTGCGACAGTTGTTAGTGTTTGCTCGTTCTGTGTACTAATTTCATACGTGCTTCATGCTTGAGGTGTGCGCTGCAAGTTTCGAGCTGCTCACCGTTCCTAACACAACTTTGCAATTTGTTGCTTTTGCTGAAACAATGCACAATAAATGCTCAAGTACTTCTGTAAAGACATGCTTCACTTTCGTGTTATACTGATTCCTATATAATTGGATCAGTATAAATGGTGCGACAATTTCGTATTAGATGTGCTTTCAAGGTTCCCGCCTCCACGAAGCGCCCCTATGGTCTCTCCTGCGCGTGCGCTTATCAGACTCGTAATTTCAGAAAGCACAAAGGTCTTTTCACAAGCAGCCACAGCTGCGTTTAGGAAAGGAACACGCTGCTGACACACAAGGCAGGAAGAATTGTGACAGTTGTTAGTGTTCGCTCGTTCTGTGTACTAATTTTATACGTGCTTCATGCTTGAGGTGTTCGCTGCAAGTTTCGAGCTGCTCGCTGTTCCTAACACGACTTTGAAATTTGTTGCTTTTGCTGAAACAATGCACAATAAATGCTCAAGTACTTCTGTAAAGACACGCTTCACTTTCGTTTTATACTGATTTCTATATAAATGGATCAGTCACGTTTTTTTTTTTTTTTTTCGTGCTCCAATGAAGCTCGGCAATTCGTAGAGTAGACCACAGCAATCACATTTCCCGAATATTACAACGCCGCGCACCGCGCAGAGCCTCCATTTTGAAAAACAATTCCCGCACTCCTTTTCTACGCCTGACCAATCCTCCTTTCATGTGCAATGACGCAAAGTCAGTGATCGAGGATTTGACTCGTCGATTGGTCTGAACCAGCCATGACGACAGGCTACACCTTCCCCTCCCTGTAAGGAAGAAGGGTGGCGAGGCCTCGCGAAAATTTGAAACCAGCTGAAACCAATATGCCAGCCCCTGTAACTTCCTTAAAGGGCCAGTAAACAGGCTCCGACTTTTTTTTTTTTACACCCCCATACAAGCTTGGCCATTCATAGATTAGACTGCAGCGATCACGTTTTCTGAATATTACAGCGCTGCGCCCCGCGCAGAGCCTCTATTTTGAAAAACAATTCCCGCGCATCTTTCCTACGCCTGACCGACCCCCTAGCACGCGCAGTGACGTCAACTCGGCAATTGATGACGTGATGTAGCACGCAGCTCGCCAATTGGTCTAAATAAGGAGTGAAAAAACAGTAGTGAAGTCAACGTCAGTACCTGTTCCCACCCACAGCTATGAAACTGCCCTTTGTTTTTTGGCAGTGCGGTGAAAAAACCGGCCTCACAGTTGTCGCGTGCATGTGTACACACCTCGCTCAACTACAGCACCTGTGCGCACATACGAACGTACTTCGCTCTTGACATGAGCATTACAGGTAAAAAGCGTTGCTCTGTCGTCGGCTGCAAATCGAGCAACTGGGCAGCGGAGAAGCATCGGCACCGGGTTCCTCAAGATGGGGCCCTGCACGCTGCATGGCTGAAGCGAACGGCCATTTAGCGACGTACGCCGGGGACCTGATCGTTTGTGGTCGACACTTTGCACCTGACGCTTACACGGCTGACCTGCGGCTGGTGCGGAAAACGGTAAATAAACAACCACGCTTCGCAGCAAGCGGAAGTGCATTGTGACTGATCGAGTTCGCCGATGACGTCAATCGCTGAGGTGGTGTCACATTGCCGAAGTGGGTGGAGTCACGACGATGGGATACGCTTTCCCCTTCATGGAAGGGAGAAGGCGGGTGACAAAATTTGAAACCAGCTTAGACCGATGTTCTAACCCCTGTAAAGTCCTTAATATAGCATGTATTCACAAAATTCTTGCAGCAGCATGTTCGCAAAGAAAACCTGCACATATATCTC